CCACCCTTGCCTAAAAAGCCTCTAGAACTTATGTATAATATATCCCTGAATACATTTAGAGAATAATTTTTGTCAGAAATGGCTACATTCTGAGGCACTGCTGCTGTTAGCCTGCTTTTCTTACTTGTGATATTTACAGAAGTATGTTGCCTCCAGAGTATCATCATCATGCTCACAGCTCTCTTCAATGACCCAAAGAGCAAGAAGGAAAAGACTCTTAATTGTTATGTATTTTCCCTCATGTTTTAATTACAGATTTGCATGAGGCCTTCAGCTAACTGCAGGTACCAGGACAGGGTGGGAGCTGAGGGGCTGGAAAGCAGCTTGGCAGAAAAAAAACCTGGAAGAGCTGAGGCAGAGGTAGATGAACATAGTCAGCAATACACCCTTGCAGCAAAGAGAGGCAACAGCATCCTGGGCTGCACTAGGCAGAGCATTGCCAGCAGGCTGAGGGAGGTGAGCCTTTCCCTCTGCTTAGCATTGGTGAGACACACCTGGAGTGCTGTGTCCTTTTCCAGCCTCCCTTCTACAAGACAGACATGGACATGCTGGAAAGAGTCCAGCACAGTGCCATGAAGATCATTAAGGGGCTGGAACATCTCTCATATGGGGTGAGATGGAGCCAGGCTCTTCTCAGTGGTACTCAGTGAAAGGACAAGTACACAAACTGAAGCACAGAATGATTAAACATAAGAAAAAGATATTTTATTGTGAGGTTGATTGAACACATGGAAGAAGCTGCCCAGGGAGATTGTGAAGTCTTCATCCTTGGAGATGTTTGAAATCTGACTGGATACATCCCTGAGCAACCTTCCCTAGATGATCTTGTTTTGAGCAGGAAAACTGGACCAGATGATGTCCAGAGATGCCTTTCAACATTCTATGGTTCCAAGAGTTGTAAGAGTGGAGCACAGATTTCTAGTTCACTGAAGTGAGCCTTACTGATTTAGGAAGGCAGATGGTGACTGTTCTGTTCAAAGGTGTAAAGAATCTCATTTTAGAATTTGAATTAAGGGAGAGTAAAGAGGCCAAGCACTTGCAAAAATCCTCCATTTATAGGGTATGTGGAGTGAAAAGGAAGTTACAGCTTGCAAGTCATCCTGGAAGTAAATTAGAACTCCCACACACAAAAGAAAAGTGGACAATTAGAAGAGCAACAGATTAAACCAAGAAGGGTCATAGGAGCTTTATGTTAGAGAGGGCACAGTCAGTGCAGTTTCACATTACAGCAATAATTCTCTCACAGTTTACATTTAAAATAACACGATTGACAAAAAGTTTCTTAGAGGTAAAGTTTCACTTTATGCTGCCAATGAAAGGGACTAGCCTGTTCTTCCTTCTTTCTATTCTTTTTAATTGCTGCCATCATTAGTTACACCAACCCATTGAGACAACTGAATATTGAACTACCAAAAAAAAAAAAAAAAAAAAAAAGGATTACTCCATTGGTACAATTTGGTGACTTTGATGCTCCCTGTGTACATATAGTTGCTACAGCCAGTGCAAAAGAGGGATATGACAAGTAATAGCAGCAGTAACATCCAGTTTAACCCCATACTTAATTGGATACCAGTGAAATTTATCAGACATGAAAAAGAAAATGTTATTTTACATAGTCTAAACATACATGTGAGTTATTGCTGTAATCAGGCAGCCTGGTTGTATTATCACCTCACACCCTAAGGCAGTATGGTCTATCCTGCACTGTGCAACAGGGTCACTGACAATATCTACCAAGACTTAGAGAATCCCTAAAAGACCTAGGCAATGAAGGGCACAAAAATATTTTCAAATTGTTTCAAATTTCAACCTGTCATCACAAAAAAACATTCCACAGTCAAGGACAGTTTTGTATGAATTTAACACTAGTTGATTAATTGATGTGAATTGATATGAGTTGATGGCGAAAACCTATCTGCAATTCCAAGACTTAATCATATCCAAAACTCAGGACTGCATATAGCATTTACCTTCACCAGAACCTGTAGCGTCAGATAACACAACAGCTTATACAACTGTACTTGAATTCTAAGATTAATTACACTTTGTATCAATATACAGAGCATATTTTAGAATATCTCTTATGTGGACATCTGCAAAGGCATCTTATTTGTATAACTGATGATATAGTGAGGAACTAACAGGGTTTTTTTTCTACTTGAAAGGGTTTTTTTTCTACTCTCCCATTCCTAGCAATGTAACAGTAAAAGCAAAAAATATCTGGTTTGTTTCTACAAAATAAAGATGAAAATCCTTCAGAGGTCTCACCTACTAAACAGATTTTTTTTTTAATATTTTGCAGTTTTTAACAGTTATACTGCAGCTTGATCACTGAAGACAGAAAAGGACTTACAGAAACATGAAGATATGCTCCTGAAATATGCAGAAAATTAATGGTAACCAATCTCTTCCAAAACTAAGTTCAAGAAAGAATTGCACTCAAGTATGGTTAAGAAAATGTATTTTCAAATAGTGAGATGGGATCCTAAGCAAAACAAATATTAACTACTTGGCTGTATTTAAATACTGAATTTGAAGTTCCAGGACAACTGGCTTTACCTACTGGTGGAAAGAGCAGGTGGAAAGGATAAAATTCCACTGTATCAGCAGAAAGTTTTCATGTTGGTTTCCCAAAAAACTAATACACAAGTAATCCACAAAGGTATATCTCATATAAAGAACCGGAAAATTCTGCACTAAATGTAGCTTGGGAATATCTTGTTCAATAAAATGGAAAGTACTCTGTAAATGGCGGAAACAAATTCTTGCTCTAGGAGACTAATCTGCTAGATTGATGGGTGTTGGGATGCTAATACTTTTATCAGAGAAGAAGGCACCTGCCAGAAATGAGCTGCACTGCTACAGAGTGAGCATATGGAAACTGCAGGACCAACATCAAAAGACAGGCTGAGCTTTTTGCTGTTGAGGACAAAAAAAAAAATCCATTATTTTGGCAGTGTGCAAGTCTGAAAATAAATTATTTTTAACCAAAATAGAAATTGACAATTACATTGTAGTTTCTTTGATTTATGAGAGACAATGTAATCAAATATGGTCCTGGTTTCAGCTGGAGATAATAATAATAATAATAATAATAATAATAATAATAATAATAATAATAATAATAATAATAACAATAACAATAACAATAACAACAACAACAACAACAACAACAACAACCACAACAACAACAACAATAATAATAATAACAATAACAGTTTCCTTATCAGTAGCTGGTACAGTGCCATATTTTGGATTTAGTTTGAAACTATGACAAACATTCAGAAAGGTCCCCTAGTACCAATATATTGCCTTCTCTAAGGGGTTTTGAGAGTCAGCTTGCCTAAACAGCTAGTGAACTAGGATGGAGTATTTCTGGACACATATAGTTTTGACTAAGTTTCTTAATCTTTTAAAGACAGATGATAAATCTCAGTAATTTCCAAACATTTTAAAACATACAAGCAAAAATTGATACATCAGAATTATACCATAAAAGTAAATATGCACATTAAGTGCATTATTTACTTTAAATAATTACTTTACGTCTTGAAATTCCTGTCTCTAGATTACTAAATTACATATTTTAAAATATAATTTCAAGTGATGCCTCTGTTTCAAATTTGATAAGCGGTAACAGCCACAGAGAAATAGACAAAAATTTTAAATATTGCAATTAAATATGAGACAAGTTACTATGAAGTGGTAAAATACCAATGTTTCTAATGAACAAGAGTTTACCATGCAAACTTTGAGTTTTTTCTTTTTCCAACAATTGGTCTGTTTCGGGATATCATTCCATGAAGCGTTGCAAATCAATAAAAGAAACCAAAGAGGAGGATCGTTTCCCCTTTCCAAGTTTCATTGGTCCCTTCCTCCCATTCACACTGATTGCTGTGCTATCTCTGGCACTCCTCAGACCATCTGTGAGTGAGTTTTCTGCCAGACCATATTAAATCCTGCACAGATTTTTGCCATAGGAGTGAAATGCCTTGGCTGATAGAGGAGTCTGATGCGTGCAGTGCTGGAGAGGAGTGAGGATCAGGTGTGGAGAGAGGGTGTGGGGGGCAAGAAGAGTGGAATGGGATGAAGCAGCGATGCACCTGCAGCTATAAATCCCATTTCTTAGCTACAGCAACTAGAACCTGAGATGCTAACATTTTCAAAAAACATTTTCAAAAGAGACAAGAAGGATTTCAGTTAACTGGGGGAGAGAGAAAAAAATTGTTTAGTTCATTAACATGGTTCTCTTAGAAGCAAGGATCTTAAAACAGAAACACTTTACTTCTAGTCTCTGTTGTAGTTTTAGATTAAATGTTGACTAAAATTGTGATTAGAACCCAGGTCTCTCTTTTCCCAGGCAAATTCTTT